CCATTTTGAACCTTGTAATGGGAATCGCCCATTTTGATCGCTATTTAGCATAATCGATGTTTATGTAGTAGTATATAAAAAGTATCAGCCTCCAAAACATCGTTCGTTACGGGCGTTAGATTGTTCTAGGAAACAAAATTGTAGGTGCATATGTCACAGCAGGTATTTAAATATCATGACGTTGTGGTCTGTCTAAATGGTCCTCCTAGGCAATTAAGAGCAATGAGCAATTAATGCAATACGCCGTGAAATTTAGCCTTGGACGACTTACCCGTTATTTAATGTACCCTGACACAAGATCATATTTTCATGCCATGCAATTGTACAGGATTTGAGGGCATTCCTCCTTTCTGCTGTTACTCATTTAAACACATCTTTCTTCCAGATGAAAATGAGGACTGATTGGACAGGTCTTCCCACAACTGCTTCTGTCAGATGTGTTGAATTCGTTTATTTTCTCGCTCTTGCTTCCATGTTTTTCATCAGTGGCTAACACATTGTCATTGCACTCTCGCATGTGCATCGTTAATTAAATGACGCGAATAACGGCGGCACTGATGGGTTGTGAAGGCAAAATGCAGAACCATTCGAATCATGAATTCCAGAGTGCAAGTAGCTTAATTGAAAACGGGGTTCGCAAAACCAATCAATAGGTGTATAGTGAAGCAGATCACTTCCACTACGACTTGATGTTATGATAAACAAAACGATGCAGGCCTCCGAGGTAGATATTTCCCTCCACATGAAGCACGCAGATATCGATGCAGCGCTGCTGTCAGTCATGAACGTATTCTTTGCAGTAACTGTGGTCTTATGGCAACCTGTTACACGACCGACATTGAAAGCCGTCATCGATCTACCCTGCTATCGAGGGTCCTTAAGATTTATCAGAACCTGTCAATTCGATTGTTACTAAATCCATGAAATATCCTCGCTAATGGACATTGACAACAGGACGAAGATATTTGGCTCAATACATCCAAAAGTGTGTTTTTCGTTTTACAGAGTGAAGGATAATGCAAAAA